TATATATATATATTTATATATTTACGAAAAGCAAATATTCTAAATATTTTTTTTTGTACTCGAATATAAATTAAACGAGTATCCAGATACTTGAAAATTCGCAAATTTGAGCGGCCGTATGAGCATTATTGATAAAAGGAAGGATAAGTTGTTTGCTAAAAATTGCATTAACACGTCCCTCCACACGAGACACGCTTAAGGGAGCAAATTACGTTATAGGAGGCGAATCCGATTTTTTTCCCTCTTTTGCGATCGACAAAGGGAGGATCCCTCGTACGAAGTGTTGTAAATTAAAGCAATAATAGTGTGTTACGACCTTTACTCTGTAAGCACATTACACCGAATATATTTAGAGACTACAAAAGACAAACACACATTTATACAAAACTGCATAAGCGAATACATACGAAAAAAAAATATATAAAATATATATATTTATTTATTAATTTATGATGTTAAGTTTGGAAAGATGTTACGTTTTGAATACGAAAATATACTTAATGCAGTACGAATAAAGTGCGTACGTTTCCGTTATGGGAATTACCGAACAGACTCGTACTTGCGATTCGCAATAACGATTCCGTCTTGCGCGACGATAAAAAAAAACACGTACGACGACGGAAGTTGTTACGCGAATCCGCGATTACGCGATCCTGAGAGCCTATCTCTATGTTTTTTGCGCACGCCTCTAAACGCGCCGCGCGCGCGTCCACGAAATCTAACAGAATATGCAAAACTTTCTAATTGGATCCACTTGTAAGGCAACTCTGCGAGTCGTAGTTTGCAACACCAGAAGATTAAGTCTCGTTACTGAATCGCATTTTCCTACGACGGGCCGCAGAAACTCGAACTTTCCCAGCGACAGAATTTAAAGAGAGAGATTAAGGGCAATCTCTTTTTGCGAATTCGCCAGCTCATTCGTTTGGAGGAACGAGATCCTGGAGCGGAAGATGATAAACTTTGGATCGCCAAAGAGTGCGTGTATCAAGACGATATTGTTTCTAATCTTGCGATATATCCTTTCAGTAGCTTATCTTTTTACGAACAAGCGTTATCATAGGTAAAAATAATAAGGACGGTTCGGGAGTTTTTTTTTATATATCAACTCGGTCGATGATGGAATACCAATAACATTGATTGATTGATTTGATTCTATCGAAATAATATCGAGGCATATATTGCTATGAATTCTGTGTAAGGACGATTATTATTAGTTAAATACTAAAAGAACATTTGTGGTTATATTTGCGCGCGATGAAAATAATCTTCTCATGTATTTATAGAGTTGGAAAGTTAATTTCCGCGTGAGATCCATAACCATGGTCTTTTAACGAGTCATAGAATTCTCGTTCTCGGATCGATATGCGGATGGTTTCATAAAAAATGTATGGAAACCGCCGTTCTCGCGGGCGAAACAGTTCCCCAGATAGTCAGCAATCGCCATCAATTCGCATCAACGTTCATTCGCATCGAACGACCGGGTAGCCGTTTAAAAAAATGATGGTACTCACAGTTTGCGCAAAAAAAAAAAGTGGGAAAAAAGAGAAAAAAAAAGGAAGATCGACGAAAGCATATTTACGAGGTCATATAGATTTAATGCGATTAGGCGAAACATTCCGGGTTGATGTTCCTCTTACCTGGATCTCGTAAGTGATACGCCATCGCGTTTTGGCTCGCTTGGCATTCTGAAAAATTCATTTTCCCCGAAGCGAGAGGCCCGGTAGAAGCGTTGAGTGAAAATCCCCCATTAATGTGTTTTCCGTGTGCGGTCCACTGACCTACAAGCTGCATCACGAGTTCTCTTGCTTTCCGCCGAAACGGGTCGTCCATCTCGGCTCGCTAAGTTTGGAAGTTCCGACGAGGAATGCGCAATCGATCGTCACAGTTTAACTCGAAAGTCGGCGGCCTTTTCTTTCTTGATTATGCGAAGAGTTTTACGACGGACCGACCGAGGAATAGGAAGAATGAGAAAGCGAGAAAGAGAGAGAGAGAGAGAGAGAGAGAGAGAGGGAGGGAGAGAGAAAAACAGAGTCCGTAAAGTCTCAACCAAGCTTTTTATTCGAATTTTATAATCGGTTTCGAACATCTGTGTACGTTGAAAGATACGAAATCTACAGTATTTTTAACTTCTTTTTCTCTCATTCTATATTTCTGTAAATCTAATTATATATCTGTTCTATGATAATATCTATCTACCCAGACAGCACACAATATTTATAAAATATGTACAAAATATTTATAATGATTATTTGAATATTTTATAAATATTTATCAAAATATTGAGAAATATTTACAAAATATTAATAAATATTCATTTTTTACTTACCATAAATATTATATAAAATATTTAGTCTATATTATATATAATTCAATCAGTAGAACGAATTCTTTTCATTACTCTTCTCTTATATATGATATGTAAAACTTACTTTAAATTTACAAAATTTAGATTTGACAAAAATAGCAAAAATAACTTGCGTTTGTATTTGACGATTAATAAAATCCGAATATCGGATTGCTTTTTTAAACATTTATCAATAGATATAATCGGAAAGATTAAAATTCTAATTAAACGTATACATTATGTTTCTTTGTTTATTTGTCACTTAAGCATTAAGGAACAGAGGGGATTAAATCCGATCCAATTTACAACTTTGATTACCGACATTAAGCGTTCATCTCTACTCATTTCTTTCGCTCTATCTCATCCCTGTGTGTATATATATATCTCTCTGTCATTTAAATCGCCCGATTAAACTTAAATCGTAAGCAAATATCCAAGATACATTTACGCTGCTCAGACTATAAGTGAGATCCCTTCCGTTGGCGTCCATTTACATTTGTTTCATACAGAAATTTCGAGGCTTTGCGTATCCATCACGATTATAAACACTATAATCCCTAAGTATCATAATCGTCGCATATAAAATCACATCTCTTTCCCATGGAAAGGCTAAATTTTCCAAGCATAGCTAGACTCTACTTTTAACAGTTTGTCACATAAATACTATTCGCGTTTTTAATCACATCTGGCGCGAGCTCTATCCATCTATCCATCTGGCGTATAAAGATAAACGAATTCAATGGCTCAAATGGGAAAAGACCACCCCTCATAGTGCGTCGCTCGAAATATTAGACCTGAAAATATTTCACCATGCCTATCCTCTCTCGCTCGGTTAGCCAAGATTTCTCGGTGGCACTTCGCCCGACTCGTTAGTCATGGTAGTTAGTCATGCTATGTGCATTTCTCGTCTGGAGAACGACCAAGAGGAAGACGAGCGAGAGGGAGAGAAAGAGAGAGCCACATCGTGAGAGGGGTTGGCGAGGCTGGGACGTCCCCTAAGAGAGGGATAGAGACCTCGTAAACGTCCTTCTCCTTGCTCTTCTTCCTCTTCTGAGTCGCGCGCGCGTGTCCCCTTTTCGAACTTCGCTTTGGGGACTTCGATGCGTTTGAGGCGTGCCGCTGCTGCTCTCGGCGGCTATTTTTGTATGTACATACAAGCCCGTGTGTAATGTCGAATGTATAGTCGGCGTCGAAATAGTCTCGGGACACACTCTCTTTTTATGCTCATGTAGAAAATATACACCTCGACAAACTTATTCTCGTATAAATTGAAAATGTGTAAGAGGAGTAACACACACAATATATTATATTAAAATGTTGATATATATTCTTGTATATTCTTTTTTTTAATACTTTGTGCTTCCTCATGGAGGAAACTTTGTTTTCGTAACAATATTTTTTTTTCCAGTTTTTTATGCCAACGTATTTAAAATGTTCCAAAACATCAAAAAATCATATTTTTTTTAAATGTCTGTATCTATGTATGTATGTACGGAATGTACATTGTACAACCTCTAACTTCCGCAATTTTTGAGATATCGGGCTAAATTTTTAAAAATAAATAGAGTGTCATTAAAGGATGGTTGGTATTGAATTTGATGAGGATCAGTGAAAGGATTCATTATTTATAAAATTTTGAGTTTTTTGAGAAATGTTTGTACACATTCTAACTTTTGCAAATTTTTAAATATTGGGTTAAATTTTTTTACATAAATAGAGTATCATTAAAAAATGGTTGGTATTGAATTTGATGAGGATCGGTGAAAGGGTTCATTTTTTATAAAAGTTTGAATTTTTTGAAAAATTTTTGTACATGCTTTAACTTTTGCAAATTTTTAGATATCGGGTTAAATTTTTCTACATAGATAGAGTATCATTAAAGGATGGTTGGTATTGAATTTGATGAGGATCGGTGAAAGAGATCATTTTTTATAAAATTTTGAATTTTTTGAAAAATGTCTGTATACGGTGTAACTTTCGCAAATTTTGAGATATCTTCCTCTATGAGGAAGCCAAAATTGAAGAATCTGTTTGCTTTAAGAAGCTTAAGCTTTATGAGCGAAAAATGATAAAGAAGCAATATGTGCTGTAAGTTTCTAATTTGTACAATTTTTATTTTGTTTTTTTTTTGTTTTTTTTGCTAATAAACCAACATGGTAATACATTTCGTTCGCATCTTCGATTTATACAGAGAAATAAATCTGATGCAGAAGTTACAAGCAAGAAAAGAGTGTCCGCGCCATTCCGACGCCAATAAATCATAACGTTCTCTCACGTGCGTAAACGTCCATATGTGAATGCCCTGTTTCGTTTGTGTTTCCCCTTCCCTTTGTGTGTATGCGTGCAAGTCCTACACGGCGCCGGTTTCATAACAATATAACGGCAATAACGATTGTTCCCCGAGATGTTCATAACGGCTCGAAAACTCGCATGCGATCGAACGAGTCATTCGCGAGACTAGAATAAGGCAATACCACGTAAAGCGTGCTCGCTACGATGAAGATAAGACCGACGGAATAGCTCTTATGGGATCTTGCCTTTTCCTTTGCGTGCGTGTATGAAACCGGCATGTAATTTGTCCGCTCTCGTATGTGTCGTTCTTACCCTATTTTCGCCCTCGTCCGAACGTCCTCCCCTGTGTTCTCTCCGGCTGTTGCGCGTCCTTTCAGCTTGGAAAAGACCAAAGTACTTGTTTCGTCGACACGCGTGAATGTAATGCAATGTACCTTCACCACCTTGCTTCGTGTATTCTCATATTTTCGTAAGTAAATTTGAACGATACAGTTTGCGTTTGCGAAATGTTGATTAACTAATTGAAGAAATGAAGAATTCAGAAAAAGAATTATGTTCCCCTTTTTGTGAAAATATGTTAAAATGCTAGAGCTAGAAATAATTCATTACGATGTTTAACGATATAATATATATTTACAATTTTAATGAATAAGCGAAAAGTTAAAGCGCCATTTTTGGGCAGAAAGATAAGTTTTTTATCGTTCCCATATATATTTTATTTTCCATTTGTTTATCTTTTTATTTTCTAAGAAGAAATTTTAATATCTAGATATTTTTTCGTAACGTTATACAATGACGAATTTATTTAAGTTTTATTTGTGTGTATGTCATATATATATAATTTTAACTAAACTAATCGCTGATTGAAAAATTCATAATTGGAATAACGAATGTTTTACTCAATCCTTTTTGCATTTTTTAAATCTTTTATTGTTTTTATTGTTTGTATTTGCTGATACGTAACGACGCAAGATCTACCTTGAGCGAAAAAAAGCTGTTGTTCAAAAACAATTCATCGTTATTATTCATCGTTTAGCATCGTGTGAATTTGCAGAGGACGGATATTTGCAAATCTTGATTAAAAGCATGTGATTATTAATGAACGTATTAAAGGCACGAAATATGTTGGGTTTGATAAGCAACGGATGTACATTGCATGTGTTTCACCGCACTTTTAGTAACGTAGTTATATTTAGACTCTTTCACAATTATGATCGACTCGTATAGTTACCGAAGGGATCGATTCATATAGTTCTCTCATTATAATCTAGTATAGATACTTTTTGGTCTTCTATACGTTTAACACTCCGCTAGAAATTCTTCTGACTTTTCAAAATGAGCTACGAATTTATACTTGCGAAAATATACGCGCATATACTAGGTGTCCCAAAATCTGCGATTATGCTGCACGTAAAGAAAAAAAGAGAGACTGAGATGATTCTTTGATTAGTTTAAAATTGATTTTTCTTAGCAAAGATATGTTGAGGCATATATATAATATTAATTACAGTTTTTGTTTTTACGGATGATTAAAAATTGAAAGATTCTCTCATACTAAACTTTATACTTGCTAAAATGTGTTAAAATATTGAATTTTAATACATTCCAACTAGACCTTACTTAAACAGAATTTTAAGTAAAGAATGTAAGTTACTTCCCAAGATATTTAATATTGAACATGGAAAAATTATATAGACGAGAATAGTGTCTAATAATACATAATATCGATCAAGAGAAAATCAATTTAAAATTAATCAAAGAATCTTTCAGCAGAGCAGAAATGCAAAAAAAAGTTGAGGAGACACCTTGTATATACAACATATACAAATCTATATATAAATATATGCATGCACACGTATACTCTCAGATATTCATGTCTGAACAATTTTTGCGTGTACGCGAAGAAAATACTTGAAGTAATATTTTAAGTAATTATATATATAAAATTTCATACATTGCTAATAAAAATGTTTAAGACGTTTAATAAAATTATATTCAGTAAAAAGATACGTGCCAATTATCTACTGACATACACATATATAAACAAGAAAAATTCAAAATATTTCAATTTACGAATTATTACACTGATGCGTGTTTTTTATTTAGATACATATTTTCAAAATCTTTTTTTATTATTTTTTGCACAAACCTTGTGGTCTATGTTAGCCAAAATATATGTATAAATCCCTCCTTTTGTGTTTACTCTTTCTGTATAGTACAAAATTGAACAATTATTGCATTTATATGCAAATGTCTATAAGAGACAATGTGAGAGAGAAAGAGAAAGAGAGAGAGAGAGAGAGAGAGAGAGAGCAAATGGGTGAGTTTGTTTTATAATAAATTCAAAAATATTTTTAAAATATATTTTATAATTTTTATTTATCTCTGGCGAGATAATATATTTTTTACTCAAAGAAAATATTTGCTATCTTCGAAATGTACAAAATAAATATAAGAATCTTAAAGAAAAAAAAAGTCATTGTATAAGGTAAAGTTTAGTCTGCATAATTCTCTATATCATACAGTACAAATATATTTATTTTAGGAATAAAATTCTATTTAAAAATACCACGCTCTCCACGAGCCATAAATTTCAATGTTTCCGCTTTCATAGAGCTATACGCAAGAAATCTCTGAAGTTCCACACCAGATGGTATTTAATAACCAACTGAAAAGTATGGCAATGCAAGCGTTTGTATGTTTCTTACATACAAAATCATGGTTCTCCAATTAAGTATTATTTCAAAGATGATTTTCAAATTTGTGGAAAAGTTATCTAAATATTATCATTTTATACTGCAAAATTAAATTTTTTGAATTTTACGAAGTAATTATTCCTAATTTACACACATTGTGTGTTAATATTATAGTTGTTTTAGTAAATAAGATGATAGAAATGACAAAAAACTCTTTCCAGGAATTAATTTTTTTATCTAAAATCTAAATTATACATATAAATATTTATTAGATGCAACAATTTCTCACGAATTTGTTGATTCATGGAACATGTTTTTGTTTCCTTCAGTAAATATTTTCTTTTAAACAAATGTAAAAATTACAAAATTATAAAAAATATAATAAAATTTAAAAAGAACTGCAATGTTTTATTATAAAAAAAAATGTTTTGTTTATAATTAGATATTGTGGATTATAAGATTCAAAACAATTTGAACATCTCTTATTAATAGATTCTTGTATCGTGATTTCCTTTTTGTAAATTTGTACAGATACAGATTTGCGGAATAAACGGTTACTTTTATGTGTGAAAACTTTACATATTAATATATAATATATACGCTTTATATATAACAATATTATACATACTACTTCTATGAAATTTTAAGATTTGTTAAATCTTTTGTTTTTGACAAATTATGCATTTATTTTTATTGATATTTTTTTGTGTATATTAAATATAGAAGTGTCACAGGTAAAGTTCAAAGTCTATTCTACCAGCATTATAAAACTGACTCTGTTGTCCGGTTCTTCTGACCCATGCACCCTTTTTGAAATATCCTTCTTTTGCCCATGCATGCATTTGCTGAGTAGTATGAGGCCCATATATTTCTGCATTTTCATCCTGTGACCATTTCAAGTCCCATGTTATATTTTCTGCTAAAGATGTACTTTCTTCTGCACTAGTTGTGTCTGTTGTCTTATCTATGGTACATATATGTATGCATTATATATATGTATCAAACATCTCATATAAAAATATTTCTATGCATTAGAGATAACAATAGCAATGTGAAAGTATTTATTGTTAATATGTTATACGTATTACATTAATTGTTATATGTATTACAGACCATTATTAGTATTATCCAGGTTTGCCTTCTCCTGTCCATCAAAATCATCAGTAAACATATCCAGTTCTGCTTCTTGTTTCAAAGGATGCACATATTTGTTGGCATGTTCAATCTACAAAATATGTGATTTCTTATAATAAATATACTGTGTGTGTATATATATATATATATCATTTGTAACGTTTCTGTTGGAGACTCCACTAATTTAACGCAGAATTTAATGTTGGCGCATTGTCAACCGTTCCTTTCATTAAATCGATTTTTAAACAAAATTTTGTAATACAACTTTGCGTGACTGTATCTCATTAACTATTGAACCAAATAATTTCAAACTCGCACCACATGTTGAGTATTGAGTTGTGAATAACCTTCTAAAATCGTAGCACAAACGGATCAAGTGTGCGGAAATGTAAAGCGAGTCTTGAAACTTAATTGTTCGACAATGTACATATGTGTATATATATAATTGAGTACCTTCTTTTTTATTTCTTCGTAACTTTCTTGATATATATCCATATTACCAATGCGTGTTAATAATTCATTTGCTAGCTCAGTTAATTTGGTTATGTCAACAGAATTTGAATCTTCTTCATCTTGTGGTTTACCTTCCTTTTTCCTTTTCCATCTTTCAGCTGTGGTTAATTTCTTTTTCCCTTTGCCTGGATTGAGACAATTTATATATATAGTATTTATAACAACTTGAATATGCACATTCCATATTAATTGTGTTTACCAAGTCTACATAGTGTCTTAGAAACAGTTTCACCAGGTTTAAGAAACTCTAAAATCTGTTTATATAATGGAATTGGATCAAACTTGATATCTTCATCATCGCTATCGCTGTCTCCCAATCCATGACTTTTGCTTGGTTTAGCACTTCTTTGTATGTCAATAGTGGAACTAGGTTTAACCTTTAAAATGTATAATATTTTATATGTAGATAGAAAAAATTTACATTATCTCTTTTATTAATATATTGAAAAATAAAATTGTTTTTAAAATATAATGCAATTTTTCTTTAATACAAAAGAAAATTATACTTTTATATAAATATAATAAATTAATTTTAGACTAGAAAGCAGACTATTATATTTATCTATAATACTAACTTGGACCCAATTGATATTATCCAACCAATTGTCTTTTATTTGTTTCTCTTTTTTCCAAAGATAATGACCATCTTTATCAAAGTGGCCTTCTTCCAATTCCTCTTTCATATTAAATGCTGTAAATCCTACATTTGTTTCTGGTGCTGAGGGTCCCTCTTCTGTGCCTATTTGACAGATATAATTAAGCTTCGGTACGTACATTAGACAAATTAAGAATTGTAACAATAACAAAAAATAAAATAATAAATATAATATTGATCTATCTAAATAATATTATGTCCAAATACCTTCAAAATCATTTTCATTCATGATATTATAGGCATCTTCGTTTATTTCGTCATCATCTTCATCAGAATCCAACGAATTTTTAAGTGGCTGCTTGTTAGATACATCTTCAATATCGTCAAATTTACGTTTTGACATGGTTTCTCAATGGACCTTTCCCCAAGAAAAAAAATTCTGCATAAAAAAGATTATATTATTAGAAGTTTTGTTTATGAAATAAATGAAATAATTGTTATGTGTTTTGATAATTAAAATACTCACAATATTGGAATATTATCTTCGTTTATTCAAACACGATGATATATATTGCGAGGTTTCTTATCTTATAAAAATTGTTTTCTTTCCTAATTTAAATATAGAGGTTAGTTCGCATTCAGGTTCAGGTTATATATTGGATTTTCGAGCACAATTCGCGAAGGAATGTTATTCTATTCGTCTCAAGAGCTCGTTAGGTTCACAAATGTTTCTTACAACTAAAATCTATATCCGTTATCTATATAGGCGAATAATACTCTTGGAATTATCATTGGACGTATCATTTTTTGTGCAAAATCGGAAACACTTCTCCTCTTGTGCTGCTCACTAACACTATTTCAAAGTTCACATTTTCTTCCCACGTGATCACGCATCACGCATGCATTATGTATCATCATGTATATAGAATGAAAACATCATTATATTATATCATTATATTATTTATATTGCATACAATATATACCCAGATAGCAGACAATATTTATAAAATAGGATATAACTCCTTTATATATATGAAATAAATACAATTCTGAGCAATAATATTCTGGGATATAACTCCTTTATATATATGAAATAAATACAATTCTGAGCAATAATATTCTGCGCAAACGCTTAAAGCCCGTATCAGACTACGCATTGAAAATTGAAGATTGAAGATTAAAGATTGGATGTGCTGTCTGGGATATAACTCCTTTATATATATGAAATAAATACAATTCTGAGCAATAATATTAACGCTCGACGCTGCCATGTAAAGGCATCTTAAAGTGGATCCAGTTAGCGCCACTGTACCAGTTAGGAAAACGGTCTCACGAAAAACGACAGCGTGGCCCCTCTAAAGCGGTCAAATTTCAATTTTGAATCTTGAATCTCAATCTTCAATGCGTAGTCTGATACGGGCATAACGCTCGACGCTTGACGCTGCCATGTAAAGGCATCTTAAAGTAGATCCAGTTAGCGCCACTGTATCAGTTAGGAAAACGGTCTCACGAAAAACGACAGCGTGGCCCCTCTTAGGTTTCTCTCTGTTCCTAGTACTGGCAGTGAATTTTGGAACACAGCCAGTATGAGCATCTGCTTAGCATTTGCATCACTACGCATGCGCGAGATTCGTCCCTCCACCTCTCAACACACTGGTTGATCCTTAACGTTTCTCTTATTTGAAACAGTCAAGAAAAAATTGTATATACCACATATCTGCGATAAAAGCGTATACTGCTTTCTGTAATTGGTTTTACAGTGAACGAAATTCAAGAATTGAATTTTATTTTGAATTTCTTCAATTGATACAGTGCGTATATGTGTACTATGTCGGAGATTAAAGATGATCCACGAGAAGTTCTCGTTCTTTTGAATTCATTAGGATTCGTTGGCATTACCGCGGCTCAATTAAAAGCTTTTATGAAAGGTAAATGCATCGGCTTGTTCATTTATTTTTTTACCTGTTCATATTCCAGGTTGAATTATCATTGCAATAAAATCGATACATATTTGCAAGATATTTCTCTCTTGTTACAAGTTATGATTTTATTTTCTAGATTTGAAGATCTATAGAAAGATAAAAGAACGCGAAAGACAACAACGAAAAGAAGAGATTAAAACGAAAATAATTAGTAAACAACAGGCTCTGATTAAAGAAGCTCATGGGCATCAGAATACAGATTATTCCTTAATCAATATTGTTCCTTCTGAATCCTCAAATTCCTTTGATGATGAATCATTGGTAAAAGTCAAGATAAAATGTATTCCTAAGGAAGATATCCAAAAACATACTAAAGCAACTGTGATAAAATCAGATGAAAAGCTGTCAACAATAAAATACCACAAAGAAGGTGTTCAAATAAACGAATCTGATGGGACTTGCTGTAAACAAAACTATTTTAATATTAAACCTCCGATTATCAAATGTTCGAAAAGCGAGAATAGACGAAATGCTTCTAAATGTTTAGCAAAAGATAGTTATTTGACGGAAGAATGCAAGCTTAATTTAAGAATAGAGGATCAAGCAAAACCAATAACTTCAGTATTTGAGCAATCGATATGTAAACCTAGATCAGATTATGTAAGCGGATTAGAGTCAAAGAGTATAGCATCAGATCCAACTGGAAATGTGCGTACACAAAGTACTTTATCTACAAGATCATCCATTAATACCAGACCTAAATCATGTAAGCTATACATTGCCATATCTATATCGCACTCGCTTTTTGTATATGTATATTTAAAACTATTCATATATTTATAAATATATAGCTTTGTTCATATTTATTTAGTTATTCGGCCATGGAGATTGCAACCACAAGCACAAAAAGTCATTAACAAAAAATGTGATCCTGTTGCTCTTTATCAAAAGTATCAACAGGAATGGAAACAGGTATCTTTCCCTGGAGAAGCAAAACATTCGAAAGTAAGATGGGCTGTACGGGAAAAAATGCTTGGTACAGATCCACATCCTGTGGTAAGTATATAGCAAATCATAATATCAATGATGAATAACGATATTGAAATGTTTGTTATCATTATAAACTTCTAATTTTAGCCACTTTTAAAAAAATCCACAAGTATACCAATATTAAAAAAGAAATGATGATGAAGAAAAGTAGATACGATAGAATGATAGAAAATTGATACAATGAATAATATGACAATAATTAGATTAATTTATATTATATGGTAATCTTTTTAAAATGATACTGTTGTTAACACATAAGTATTGTAAGTAAAAATATTTAAAATGTAAGCAAACACAAGCAATTGTATATATATAAAAACAATAATACAAAAGTTTCTAAATACAACTTTTTATTCTTGACTAAGTTTAAATAAATGTGTTAATTCTTTAATATATGTTCTCTATGTAATTGATGAAAGCAGTTTTTTTCTATCAACCTGACTGCTTTTTCTGTAGTACCAAAGTATTGTTTTATCATGCTATACATAGTTATTTTAAATGTATGCATGCAAAGCAATTTTATATATGTATGTAAAAACAATAATACACAAGTTTTTAAAAACAGCTTTTTATTTTTGATTGAGTTCAAATGGTTTATGTAATTCTTTTAAATCTGTTCTATGTAATTGATAAAGCAATTTTTCTTCTATCAATCTGGCTGCTTTCTCTGTAAGGACCAGAGTGTTGTGTTTCAGCATGCTATACACGTTTAGACCTGTGTATATGTATAAAAAAATATTGATATTAAATTTTATATATAATAAAATGTGACAATAAATCAGTACACACAATCATAGTGATCTCTAACAATTTTTTGCGGTGTACCTACATGATATTGTTTAAATATACTTACCATAAACAGGCATCAAATTAATATGCTTGATTTTATCAGTAGCTAGTGTGATATTTGTAGGCATGATATCATAGCTATCTACAAACAGAACCGATGGCCCCCAGTTTCTCTTCTCTATTAATTGCTCTATGTAAGAAGGTTCAGATGTTGGAATTTCTAGTTCATCAACTATATGTAGGTCATCTTGCGCAAGTTTCACGGATAGTGTTGATGTAAGACCTGCCACTCGAGTAGAAAATGGCAACATATAAAAATGTGTTGTGGGAGAACGAGGACCATGTGCTATTCCACCACCTCTCCATAGCGGTGAACGTATACTTCCATGACGAGCTCGCCCTGTACCTTTCTGTGGCCAAGGTTTTCTACCGCCACCTCTGACTTCAGCGCGCGTTTTCGTATGTGCATAACACTATAAATAAAAAAAATATATAAACAATACTATTTCTATTTGTGATACATGCAAATAATCATAGTTGTACTCACCACCCAACGATACAATTGTTGCCATCTCACATTCTGGTGGATGATATCGATACGAGGTGCAGCCGCATAGACATGTGGATGTAAAGTGATCAAGCCCAATTTCTTTTCCTCTGCAGTATTTAAATTTTCTAACCAAACTTGCCGAGGTTTTTGATAGATATTATTTTCATCGTCATATTGTATCTTTGATATAATCGGCGTAATATCTTCAGTTTTCGTTTTATTTTCTATGATCGTGCAATATTGTTTGCTTAATGTTTGACAGGTGGCTCCTTGCAACTTGTTAAAAATTCTCCGAAATATCATTGACATTTTGTTACAAAAAATCAATTTTATTCAGGTGTAGAATAGTGTTACAAATTGGAGGTTGGAGGGACAAATCTTTTCGGACGAGATTTTCGTGCGCCTGCGTGAGTACGTCATCGAACATATGATCGACTTAAAGTGCCATTACATGGCAGCATCGAGCATCGATCGTCTGCGCAGAAATCATTGCGCAGGAATCTAAATGAGATAGATTCCAGCTTCTTGCGGCTAATAGCATGATGAGTGATATGAATTCGGTCGTTACGCATGCGCGAGATTTGTCCCCACCCCCCCATCACCAATTCGCAATATTTATTTGAGGTATATTGAAGCGTAGGCTTGAGGCCTTAAGCCGGTATCAGACTATGCATTGAGATTGAAATTTGACCAATCAGGACAAGGAAATTTTAGTTCCTTTTATCCTGATTGGTCAAATTTCAATCTTCAATACGTAGTCTGATACGGGCTTTATTGATAGTCATGAAAATATTTTCATGGAATACATGGAACACATGGTATTGTGAGAATATATGAAAATATGAATGAAAACTCAGTAAAATTACACACACACTAAATGATGGAAAATTTAGCGGACAATGTAGCTAAACTTTGTATAGAAAAGTATAATTTTTTAAAGAAAACGGGTAAACCCAGCGCTCATGAATGGACTGTATTATCTGGTATAATTTTAGCTTACGCATGCGCGAGATTTGTCCCCCCCCCCCCATCACCAATTCGCAATTTATTTGAGGTATATTGAAGCGTAGGCTTGAGGTCTTATTGATAGTCATGAAAATATTTTCATGGAATACATGGAACACATGGTATTGTGAGAATATATGAAAATATGAATGAAAACTCAGTAAAATTACACACACACTAAATGATGGAAAATTTAGCGGACAATGTAGCTAAACTTTGTATAGAAAAGTATAATTTTTTAAAGAAAACGGGTAAACCCAGCGCTCATGAATGGACTGTATTATCTGGTATAATTTTAGAAAACTCTGCCGGATCATTATCTCTAGTAGCACTTGCCACTGGGACAAAGTGCTTAGGAGAATCAGAATTAATTAATAATACTCAAGAAAATAGAGGTTCTCGATTAAGCGACTCTCATGCAGAAGTTCTAGCCAGGCGTGCATTTATACGTTACTTGTATGACCAGATCGATTTGACTTTGTATGATTCTGAGAGTGCAGTTTTCTCACGGAATGACAAAAATAGAATTGAATTAAAAAGTAATATAACTTTTCACTTTTTTTCAAGTCAAACGCCTTGCGGAGATTGCTCTATATTTCCCAAACAGGAAACTTATGATAATGGTGTGCATATGCATAAGATCAGACGTATCGATGAGGATACTTATGGACATATAATCGAAGAATCATATTATAAAGATATATACAGAACAGGTGCAAAATGTGTGAAAGGAGAGGAGACACAGGATTCTCGTTTGCCTGGTATAAATTATCATACCGTAGGTCCATTGCGTATTAAACCAGGTAGAGGAAATCCCACAAGCAGTTTGTCTTGTTCTGATAAAATGGCAAAGTAAGTTCAATATGTAAACAATGTTTATAAATATGTGCATTATATCTATAAACTGAAAATATATGTCTTCTAGGTGGCTCATTCTTGGTTTGCAAGGATCACTTCTATCATTGTTGATACCACCAATAAAGTTGAAGAGTATCACGATTGGAGGTTCTTGTCCTTTTTCTTTGGATGCCATGGAACGTGGGTTGTACAAAAGGTTTAATAATGAAATGGATAAACCCAAGATTTTTCAAGCAAAAATTGCTTTTACGCATACAAAAGGACAACAAAGATTACATCCCTGTCCAACAAGCATTATATGGTGTGCTGTGAGAAACAAGTCAGAAATATTCGTAATATATATAGTATATATATATATTATTTATTTTTATATAATTTAAAAAAACCGAGATTTTTTTATGTATAGTGCATTAGAAGTAGCAGCTGCAGGCAGAAAACACGGAGTAACAAAAAAAAGAAAAGGCAGTAATTTATTTATAAGTAGACGAATGCTTTTGCAAACTTTTTTGCAAATTTTTGATAAGTATCAGGATAACTATAATGAAATAAGACACCCCAAAAAAATTACATATTATGATTGGAAACAATGGTCACTAATTTATCAAAACAAATGGAAACAATTGAAACTTGAATCATTCCATAAATGGCCATGTAAATCGGTGCATCTGCGAAATTTTGTATTATGAAATTATTAAAAATGCGACATTTTTAAATCTCACATATATTTTGTATCGAAAATATATAAATCCATTATTATATTTATATATTAAATATATACTGGAGTTAATGGTCCCATTATAACTTTACAAACATCCTTTTTACCAAGAGCCATAAATGCAGCAGTCATGCTTTGAAAAGGAGAATCTACACATCCATTCCTACACAATTATAAAATAATTTAAATAAAGAATATAAATTAAACGAAAAATAATTTAAATAAACTATACAATTTTTTTTACCTATAAATTTCATCTAAAAGTTTCATTGCAGCTTCTTTGCCGAGATCTTCAGGTACACATGGCAATGAACCTGTTGTCATTAATGGAGAAAATGCTTGTCCACTAAAAAATACTTCTTTAGTAGTATCTGCTGTCAATGTCACTCCAAAACCTAATGTACATAACAGATTACAAATGACAAATCTATAGTAAAATAAAATAAGTTATAATAATATAAATACATATTATCTCTATACCTGGGGACTTTCCACTAGTTGATCCTCTACAATGATCTATATAAATATATACATCTGGTAGAAACTTGAGGAGAACACTTTTCGCCGATTCAACAATACGATTAGCAATTGCTGGAGAAACTCTTATGCTACATGCAGTACCCCTAACACGTTTCACCATTCCACTGTCTTCCATCTATATATATAATACAAGTGTAAAAAAAAAAAAGGAAGCACAGTGTAATATTATTGCAAAACTATACAATGCACAAAGATAAAAGAGTACCTGAATTGTTTTAAGATTACGACTAATGGGGCATTTAAAGTGTATTTCTCCACCTCCTAAAGGTGCTACTCCTCTCTTACGAATGGTTAATACAACTTCATTATCCCCTGCTAGAAATTTTTTCAGTATTGGTATACCAGCGGTCTGTATTCTGTCTACTGATGGATCTTGTAGTAATAAAAATCATATTAATTACTTTCTTTGTTTTAATAATACAAGTGTAAACTCATAATATATATTTTATAATACCTATAGTGTTATCAGTCACTCCTCTCAGCTTTAAATTAATACAATTTTTACAAAATGGAGCAAGTATTATAATTCCTTCCAAGTAATATCCAATACCTCTTTGTAAGCTACAGTCATGCTCCAATTCACCACCATTTAATAAACCAGGACTGTAATATATATCGGTACCAGTTTCATTTACTTCAATTTTTGTACCATTAGTAATCTTGTCCAACAGACGAATAAAACTAATTTCATATTCTGTCATAAACAAGTAGCATAATTATTTAACAAGTATATATATATATAATTAACATAAACAGTAAATATCAATAAAAACAATATTAAAATTCTATATATAAATTTATCAGTTAATAAAACAAAATTCGTGCTGTACAATAAAATATCGTTATTTAATAAAATTTGTTATAAGCAAATATTATTGTTTAAATTTTATTATATTTTTGTGATATTTTCTCATTCAAGTTTTCAGAGTTAGAAAAAAAAGATTAATTATATATTACACTACACAAATAATTGTACAGAATAATTAACACAATGTTAGAATATAATTTTTATATTTCAGTTATTTACTTACAATTTTAATTATATAAAAATATAATCAATAAAAGATAGAAAGAGAGACTATTAATTTTTATACATTTGATAATTACTAACCTTTAAGACCAGGATCAACATCTTTCGTTCTAATATTTGTAATTCTTACTGGTTTCCCAGATAATGTGGATAGAAGTAAACGATATCTGAGGTAATTGCTACCTTCATATGTAAGTACTCTGTTTTTTATTTTGGCCGGCATTTTTTTTTCAAACTTTGATGTATAACAGAACTAACCACGTGTATTATCTTTCATCACACAAGTATATATCATATCATTGAGCTCTATATAGTACGAACTTGAATCAAATGATGACTTTACCGATATAATACCAGCGGTTGAAAAGTGAATTGGCTATGTGTGTTTTCAATTCCTAAAAATGGATGTAATGGCGCTGCTGCACGGTGTATAGAAAAAAAGCCGGCATGGCCGCTCTCAGGCTTCTCGCTGGTATTATATCGTGTGTTATCTATAACCAATAGCATTGAATTATCCAGAATTATTATTATCATCATAGAACAAATGTGAACAAATGTGAATCGATAATACGTGAAAAAAATATATAATTAATCAGATATATCATAATCGACCAGATTTTTATACTCGCAAAAATGTCGCGCCGATACGGTTCCAGAGGAATGTCAAATTCCTTTGCACGACGCAATAGAGAAGGTATAAAATTGCTATCTTAATGAATATCATTTTTGTAAGTTTTGTTTATTTTTGTTTACATGAATGTGCTTTAGATATATTTCTTTTTTAATTTTTAATATACATGGATACATGTTTTTGAAGAAATAATATGTATGGAATAAAACAGCGCGAAATATCAGTTTTTATGGATATATATATACAGGGTGATTCAGAAATACACCGACAAACTTGGGTGATGAGTTCTTCACATAAAAACAAGAAAAAAATGTCATATGAACATATGTCCGGGAATGCCTGGTTTATGAGTTATAATCGAAAGATTATATTCAACATTTAAATTTCAAGATACAATCTAACAACTTGTCGATTCACTTGTTGACAACTCTATCTGTCGATGTAAATACATTAAAGATCATAACGAAGAAATTTGTTTATATTCGTAGTTAGTTTGCTTTGTACATTCGACTTGTACAATTCTATTACATGTGAGTGCTTAACAATGGCAAGATATTTATTCACTCCCGGACATATGTTCATATGACATTTTTTTCTTTTTTTTATGTGAAGAACTCATCACCCAAGTTTGTCGGTGTATTTCTGAATCACCCTGTATATAAATATAAATGACTCGAATGATCTGAGTCATTTTTATATAAATGATTTTAATTGAATCTTTATCAAATAGCTTATTAGATTACGTATATGCCGTTAATAAATATCTTATTTCTCAAAGAGAACTATTTATTTTTGTGAAATTAAATAATGTCTTGATATTGTAAAAGATATTTTCCTGATAGCAACTATAACTTTGATTGATATTCTTCATCTGATTATTATGTTAGTTAACAAAGTACCTATTCTTCTTATTTCTGAAACGTAGTTTATAAATTTTTTTAGAACAACAAATGCAGTCATCTGCATCTGGACATGGAGGATCTTACTCACAATCACGAAGACCTCCTCCTGGACTTAAAGGAAAGGAAATAGGACTATTTTATAGAAACTTAAACAGAGAGAAAAAAAAGAAGAAGTCTCCAGTTTTCAGATTATTACCTCATGTAGAAGAAAGAATTAAAACTATTTTAAATAATTCTAAGAGCTTTCGCAGTTTAATTTTTGACGAAAGGTCTAACTCTGAATATGATGACGATGACAAGTATCATCATATTCATGATTCCCAATTTAAAAGAAAGTTTTTAGAAATTATAAATGGTGATATAGAACACAATCTTGCCAAGGCTATTAGTATGGAATCAAAATTGCAGAGAAATAGTGATGTGGACAGAATATTACTAAATGAATATAAAGATAAACAAATTCAAAATGATTACCAGAATATGTTAAAATTTCGATTAAAGTTACCAGCGTATCGTAAGAAATCAGAAATATTACAATTGATTAAAGATAATCAAGTTGTTGTCATTAGTGGAGAAACTGGTAAGTTACAAAAGTTATTTGCTAATGTAAAATAAAATATTTTTGTGAATTTTTATCTGCATTTGAATGAGTGCAGTGTGGAACTAAAAATAAAAGAACTTTTGATTTTCAAACATTATACATTTGCTAGTAAACTTTCACTTGCTTAAATTTTCTATTCTGATTAATAATTAAATTATCAATAATGGTTGTTCTTTGAACAAAATTTTAGGATGTGGCAAAACCACACAGGTAGCGCAATTTATATTGGATGATCAATTAGAAGCTGGAAACGGTAGTATTACTCGAATAGTTTGCACGCAGCCTAGGAGGATTTCAGCTATTTCCATTGCTGAACGTGTAGCTGCGGAAAGAGCGGAAAGGCTTGGGAAATCCGTGGGCTATCAGATACGACTCGAAAAGTATATTTATTTGAGACACAAAAGTGTATACTATATGTTATATTTATATTAAAAGAAGAAATATAAGCTTCCTTTCTAAGTCATATATATTGACTTTTTTTTATCTATAGAATTCCAACGCGGGAGCAAGGAAGTATATTGTTTTGCACAACTGGTATATTACTACAGATTATGAAGACTGATCCAGCATTAAAAGACTTTTCTCACGTGATATTAGATGAAATTCATGAACGTACCACGGAAAGTGATTTCATTATTACATTATTAAAAAAAATTATTCCAAAAGTAAGTTTGAGTATCTTTATATCGCTATTACATAATGTTAATGTGGACTTATACTTGGATTGCATTTTATTGTGTCCTACATTGTAGTTATTTTATTCAAAAATTTTAGATATACAATTCTTGTAACTTTTCTAAAATTATTTAATATTATATAATTTGTGAAGAAGATAATATCTTATTTTATTCTATATAAATTCATTCAAATATTATCGAACTATGAAAAGATTCTCCACATATAAGCACAAATGTAGCATGAATTGCGTGAATACTACTATATACAAATATTAGAAATATTTAATAAAAATTAAGAAAAATGTATTTCTTTCAGAGAACAGATTTAAAAATTCTCTTGATGAGTGCAACATTAAATTCTGAACGTTTTTCGAAATATTATAATGAATGTCCAATGATACATATACCAGGATTCACTTATCCAGTTCAAGAATTTTATCTGGAGGATGTTTTGTCACTTACGCAGTAGGTATTATTGATGTAACATTATCTAACATGTTTGTAATAAAGATTTTTGCGATAATAGTCTATTAAATTTTTAATTATATAATTTTTGGAAACATATATATTAGAGAATTTTTAAAAATGTACATAATATGAAATATTTCTTCAATTTGTAGATTTAAATTTCCCGAAGCATTAGAACCTACAGATTACAGAAGATATCTTAAAAGATATAAAGAGCAACAACATAAGAAAGACGAATTTTTAGATATAATACAACCTTACATTAGACAACTTAGAACTGAGGTAAATATATGAATAATATTTTGTTCTACTTTTGTGTGTGTGTGTGTGTGTGTGTGTGTTTAAAACAGAATATATATTTTGAATATATAGATATCAGAAATGATTCAAAACTGTGATAATAATTAAAATTATTTATATGTTAATGTGTGGTTTATATGTAATTAGATGAAATATGGAGAACATGTTTTTAAACAATTACGGAATCCAAATAGTGAAAATCTTTCATTGGAACTTATAGAAAAGTTAGTTAGGTATATCTGTAATACAAAAGGTCCTGGAGCTATTCTTATTTTTCTACCTGGCATGATGGATATATCACAATTAAATAGAATGATGTTAGATTCTGGATGTTATCCACCCAGTAAGTATTTATATTATGTAATCTAACACTAAATACATTTAGCATCTGTTTTACATATATATTATGATGTATATTGAATTCTCGGATTAAGCTGCTTTGATTTAATACTTAATCGATCAAATTATAGATTTAACTGATTTTTGAAATTGAATTAGATTTTTCTACTTTAATAATTAATTATGTCACTATCCGATTTTTAGCTATGTACACACAGTTTGATACTATCTAATATACATTTTAAACAGTGCAATAATCAAATGTAATATTTTAATTGAAGATTACAGTATATACAATATGAAAGTAATGCATATATACTTTGTATGTATGTATATAATGTAAGAATTTTCCTTTCCTTATAGACAAATACATTATCTATCCTCTTCATTCACGCATGCCGACGATTGATCAGAAACTTATATTCAAAGAACCGCCTGATGATATTCGTAAAATAATCATTGCAACTTCCATCGCTGAGACATCAATAACTATAGAAGATGTAGTGTACGTAATAGATTGTGGGAAAACAAAGCTTGGAAGATTCGATGTAAAAAATAACATTCAGACTTTAGAGCCTGAATGGGTATCTTTAGCTAATGCCAAACAAAGACGCGGTAGGGCCGGCAGGTACGATATTTTATTTTTTTATCTTTAGTTTTAAGTTCGAACAAAAATTATATGTATTTTATCAAATTTCCTTATTTGTAAAACTAAACATATGTGCTCTTCATAGGGTTAAAAGTGGGGAATGTTATCACTTGTATTGCAAAGTTCGAGAAATGACATTTGATCAATATCCATTGCCAGAGATGTTGAGAACACGCTTAGAAGAGGTGATTTTGCAAATAAAAATCCTGCAATTAGGAAAAGCCAAAGAGTTCCTAGCTAGCGTCATGGATCCGCCAGATTTAAAAGCCATTGATTTGTCTCTGAATTTACTTAGAACACTTAATGCTCTAGACAAAGAAGAGCATTTGACTCCTTTGGGTTATCATTTGGCACACCTGCCGCTTGATCCTAGAACAGGTAATTTTATTTTTGTTTTTATTTTTGTTACAAAAACTACTCTTGTTATATACAGGGTGGTCTTCGTAACGGTCGCCACGATTTTTAAGGCACTTACAATAATCTGACATAAAAAAGTTATAAACAGAATTTTATCAGTTTCTAACTCTGGCAACAAATTGCAATAATAAAAATTGACCAAACATTTTTTTTTCCATAAAAAAGCAAGATCACCTGGCACTGTTCTCTTGCGTCGAACCAATATTTGCTATTGCTGCTAGTCTCACCTTTAAAGATGCTTTCTATTGTCCATTGGGGAAAGAGGAAGAAGCTAATAAAAAAAAGTTAGAACTCAGTATGGGAGAATACAGTGATCATATTGCTCTTGCAGAAGCTCTAAGAAGATTCGAAGTTGCGCGCCGAAGAGGAAATGCTGGACAATTCTGCCGAGAATACTTTCTCTCTTTCAACACATTGAAACTTCTCTCCGAAATGAAAACTCAATTTGCACAGTATTTATATGAGATGAAATTTTTGGATAACGATAATCCGGGCGATAGAAACGCTAATAGAAATTCAAATAACATAGCATTGATAAAAGCTATTGTTTGTGCGGGATTATATCCTAACATTGCTGTTATAAGGTACAGAGTTGTTTCAACTCTTGATCCGTTTAAAACAATCTGATAATTTGCATTACTATGTATGATTCTAATTACAACCACTCATTTTATTGAAGTTATATACAACAAAATATTAACTTATTAAGCTCTTAATGTAGATACGTTTCTATAAAGGAATTGTATTTGTATTTTTAGGAAAATTACTAAAAATGGAATAGTTGGCTGGACACCAGAAGATGGAAGTGTACGTACGCATCCGTCGAGCGTAAATTGCAAAGCTTCCAACTTTTCTAGTCCATATTTGACATATTTTACAAAGAAACGTTCTACTGCTATATATTTACATGATACTACTTGTATAAGTGTTCCAATTTTATTATTTACTGGACCAAATATGTTGATAAGTATGCTCATCTTTATTTGGATATTAATCATTAATATATTAATCATGCATATTTGATAGTAACCACCTATATTTCAGGACGAGAAAAGGGAAAATGCGTAATTAGTAATTTTAATTTTTCTGAAAATATTATTTGTGAACCACAAACTGTGGAAATGATACAGGTATGTAGATATACATTTTTTTAGAAAAAGAAAATTTTAATATAATTCATAATTTCTCAGGAACTTCAACGCGCCCTGAATTCTTTATTTGAATATAAGATTACGCATCCAGCAACAGTACTTTGGTCAACATGTGAAGGACAAATATTAAAGTAAATCTGCATATTTACTTTATTTCGTGCAAATAAGCATTAACAATTATCATTTAAATTTATGTGTATTTATTATGTTATAGTGCGATCATTGAATTAATATCTCAAAAGGATCAAGAAGGTGACGAAGATTTTACTTATTGTAGTTCCGATTGATATTTATATTGTATACATTAATTTATTTAACTATCAATATGTGTTATGTATAGTTATTTCCATATATATTGTCCAGAAATATAAAAAAGATAAATTATTAAAAATTTTACATTATTTTAAAACAGTTTTTTTTTTCATTGGTTTTGCGGAATATTTTTTATTGTTATCGTACACAAATATAATATGTATTATACTAGAAAAGATAAATATAAATACTAAACATGTAATGTTATATTTGATGATATACAATAATTAGATATTATTAAAAAGTTATCTAATAACTAAATGAAGAAATTCTGTTAAATCTTATATTAAATATGATATTCAATCTGTTTAATATTTATAAAAATTGAAGAATGTTTGTAATTAATATATTTGATCAATATTCTTTTTTTTTTTTTGATATTTCCTGTTCATACAATCGAAATAATCTTTTGGATGCAGAAGTCGGAAAAATTTTTGTTTTATAAGATATTGTAACAATAAAAACTATTTCTACCACTCGGAAGTATTCGAGGTTTAAGCAATATTAATAATAATGTGTTTAAGAATAGGCACATAAGATTGATCAGTCATTAGAGCGTTAATATTTGAATGTCTTTAAAAATTAAAACTTTTGTTATATATATATTAAATCAGAAGTATATACTCTCCAAGTGTATATATATAATTTTTTGTAGATTTTAAAATTTATATATATCATATGTTAAATAGTTAAATTATAATTATATAGATAATTATAAAAATCAAAAGAGATTTCAAGTAGAATGCGCGCAGTGTTTATTTTTCTTTTGATGCATAGATATTAAAATATTTGATGCTCGAGAAATACTAACTCGAAAATACAGATTTCAAGAAAAATATAAACGTCGATTAGATATTGATTTTGTACTCATAAATAACATAGATAAATAACAGTTACTACTCTTTTTCTCTTGGATATATAAAGTGACGATTTAGATTAAATCAACGAAGATCGTTTAGAAGAGAAGCTGACAACAATGTAACACAACACGTACACGATTCTTAGCGCAACCATAGTGCAACAGGACGCGAACTTTTGACCCGTTCATGCTTCACGCGGTCGTCAATAAAATACTATATCTAGTCTCTGCTTTGTACCGCTTTGTCATTCATGAATGTAAAACGTACTGTCACAACTCGATTGCATCTAGGGGAGATGGAAATGAGCGTAAAAAGATACATTTCGATCATACGATATTCTGTATTGTGCAATTAAAATATATAATATATTGTATGTAATAATATATTGCAAGAAATATTTAACGCGTCACAATTCTAAAGTTATTTTATGATACTACAAAATTCGTATATTAGTGCTATAAACTTTATATACGCCGCTTTTTTCTTTATTTAATCCACCGCTGCAATAATAATATCGCAGAATAATCTCGTACAACTCCAGTAAATTATTATCTTTTCTCTTTAACGAAAAAGAATTCTTTGTTAGCATTCTCTCTAAGAGAGCTTTCGTCAATATTTTTAAAAAGCAAACTCTAAAAATATTGAATGTATTTAATTTAACAAAAGCTGCATTAAATGTAGATTTGAAATAAAAATTAATTAATGGTTAAAACAATAATATGTAGCACAGTAAGAGATTAATATTTATATGATTTTTATTTGTATTTCACTGTAATAAGACTGTATTCTGCTCTTTTTTATCTGCCTAGAAACAGACAAAGATATGTGTGTCTTTGTTATTATATTAGCATTTTTTTGGTTTCTGTTTCTATTTAAAAGATCTGGATTTATTATTTTAAATGAGTTTGTGTATATAATTACATGAATAATATTAAATATACAATTTTTATTGCAAAATTTGCTCGCGTTTCGGATTTTATTTTCGTATTGCAGAGATGCATGCTATTATTAAAGATCATTTTAAGTTATATTTACAAATACAAAACGTCCTCTCCAAGGAAAATTTTATTCGATGGCCGTTCCGAAATTTTTTTGAGCGTTTCGAACTGATTCCAAGCCGGCCATTGGGTAAAATTTGCCTAGGAGAAGAAATTTTACATCGTTTTGGAACTTAAAATCTTAGAGACTTTACATCTAACGATAAATTTAGTGCATCGACTACGTGTAATATTGAATTTCGAAATCATTTCTCGCTCGATATGCGTTTCTCTGATTTTTCTGTAAATTTCTAGCGAGATTACGCGCTTTGTAAAAATGCGCCTTTGGAGGATTTGAAGTTTGGCACGAGCTGATAACCGCGACGCGAGAGAGTGGCAAAAGGAGCGAGAGAAAGAGCGGCAGCACGTGTGGTGGTAGGGGAGTGGGGGAAAGCGGCGTGGGAGAAGGGAGGGGATACGTACGGGCTGATAGCTGATACATGAGAGTATGGAGTACGGCGCACTGTCTGACTTCAGTCTACGTCCGACTGTCGCGCGCGTTGCGTTGCGAGATCGGAATCTTGCCGCGGGATATCGAAACGAGAACGTAAGAGACGATCGGGAACGACGGCGATATATATGTACGTGACACAACCGGCCGACGCGAATCGCGGTCTTATCTTTATCAAACGGACATCTTGCAAGAATGTGAGAAATTAGATTAGATTAAGGCAAGAATTGGCGTTTCTCCTCGTCGGATTTAAGAGGGTACGGGATCGATGCGAAGGCCGTCTAGCATGAAAATCGAAAGCGAACATAGAGAATAATCTCGAGGAGCAGGCGCGATCGATGAAAATTCATATCACAAAAAAACAACGCGAAGTGATCGACGAGAAAGCGATATATCGAAAATAAAAATAATTAAAGAGAGTATACGAATAAACGGATAGCGAAGAATACACGCGAGGCGCGAATATAGGCGCGAGTTGACAACGTCGAGATAAAAGCTTCGTGTCCCGATTTGTTCAACAGTCCTGCTAAAGGAGTCCGATGACAAGCGGCACACAATTCTGCCCGAGAGGCTAATATGCAATTAATTAGCCGGCGGAGCACGGGGATGTTTATGAAAGAGCGGGAGAAGGAACATAGAGTGCAAGAAACTAGTAGTAGACTGGCCAACTTGCAGCGGCAACTTCACGCTCTTGCGACAGGTGCGAGTTATTACGGCGCGGCCGCCTCTTCTACCTCGCGCGGTGATAATAACGTGCACGATTGTCATTATCCCGACCAAGTGCGCGCCCGACGTGTCGTCGTCTAACGTAAAAGACATTTACCTGCGTACTAATCCAAGTATACTGTTCGCGAACTCACGAACTCCGAGGCCTGAAAATAGAAAGAAGAAAGACCGAGGTGAAGTACACGCTTTTCTTTTCTCAATCGACACCCGAACTGTTATCTCTCTCGTCGTCGTTTATTATTTCGTTTCCTGTGCATCGAAGACTCACGAAGCAAACGACGAGAGGCATCTCAAAAGTTATACGAACAGCGCGACAAGAGAGTCTGCTCTTGTTTCCCCCGACGGGAAAGATTGTATCGGAAAATCGAATCGGCGCGCGTGCGCGCGCGCGGTGTTTGTGTGTGTGCATGGGTGGTGCGTGCGCTCGCGTGCGAGAGAGCTTGTGTCGGTGAGAGCGGGTCAGTGAACGATTGCGCGCCGCCGCCGTCGCGGGAGCAACGAGAGAAGGAAGGGTATCTCTCTTTCTTTCTCCCTTTTCCTCTCTCGGCTCCGACGCACGTATATGCACGTGCGAAAGCGAGGAGAAACGCGCGCGTGCGCCCCGTCCCGTGTGTACTCGGCGCCCTAACGCGCGCGCACATACACACACACGCACGTGTGTACACACCCATACGCCGGACGTCGCGTATGCGCGCTCGCGCGCAATATATAGAACCTTACAGGTGCGCGAGTATGCGCGGACACGCGCGCGCGCGATAGAGACGACAGCGCGTAGCCGAAGAGGAGCAGCAGCGGCATAAGAAGGAGGAGGAGGAGGAGTTGGAGAAAAGGAGGAGTAGGAGGTGAAGGCAGAGGTGGAGGTAGAGGAAAAAGAAGAGAAGAAGCCAGTGACACCGGGAGGGTCGGTTGTTCCTGGTGTGTAAAGCGGCCACACCGGGGGATACACCTATATATCTGTGTGTACGTGCGCGCGCGAGGAACCGCGTGTGTCGAGGAGATCCGCGGATATAAGCGAAGACGGTGCGCGCGCGAGGTTCTCCCTCCCTCTCGCTCTCTCTCTGTCTCTCTGTCTCTCTTTTGCGAACAGGGGAAAGAAAAAAAAAAAGGGAAAACAAAAGTTCGGGCGAAAAGAAATGCGGGTTCGTTGACTGCGCGCCGCCGTCGCGCGATGGCCGCATGCTCGTGCCCGGTGCTGCTGGTGTATAGTGTGCGCGTGACAGGAGCGACGACGACGACGACGACGATAAGGGCGCGACCGGCGGTGTTCGTGACGACGACGACGACGACGACGACGACCTCGACGACAGAGAAGATGCCGGCTGCTGCGCGCTGGTCGCACGACGATAGTCAAGTCGAGAAGAAGTGAATCTCTATCTCTCAGCCTTCACTCGGGGTATTCAAAGGCTCGCATCACCACCGGCATCGGCGACTGGCAACTGAGGGGAGCAACGGCCGCCGGTAAATCCGTCGACGAGATTTACGAGGTACGTCTCTCTAAATTTCGTAATTAATATCGTTGGATATATCCCGGGTGTCAAGCTGGCAAGAACGACGAAAAAAAAAAAAAGAGAAAATGGGTCAGTCGTTTTTTCTCCGCGGAACGAACGGCTATCGGACGACTAACAATATCGGGCCGGCCAGGTCGACTGGCCGGTGACGGCCGGCCAAATAATTCTTTGAAGAGACGATCGTTTTCAGGGAAATAAAATTTATATAAAAAAGAATAGCTAAGTATATACACAAAAAATATATTGTAAGAGAAGTAATTAAAAATTAGATTCATATTTCTTCCGTATCTGCAGACACAGATATTTATTGCAAATAAAAACTATAAAGGAATACCAGTTCGATATATTCGTTGTCGAGAAATTCGCGATACTTTATGTTAAATATTCGTGCATTTTTTACGATTAGCTAAATATAATATTCATGAGGAATAGATTAGGAATAATTTCATCTATTAGCCAACCAATCACGTAAGGTTTTTCTCTCTTTTTTCTCTCTCTACCTCTTCTTCTTCTGTCCCCTTTTGCTCTTCCTCTCCTTCTCTCTCTCTCTCTCTCTCTCTTCCGCTTTCCAAAAATAAAGATATTTAAAATCTATTATTCTAATGAATATTTTATAATATGCTCACGCGATTACTACATTATGTGTAGTATCTTTTTATTCTCTCTCTCTCTCTCTCTCTCTCTCTCTGTCTCTCTCTCTTTTTCATTGTTTCAAAAAATTTATTAAATTATCAAAATTACATTTTACTGAGTACTTCTGCTAACAAAATACACGTGTCTATTAGAAATGTCACATATGAGTGTTTTAATATATATTATTTAATATATATTATATATATCATTAACATAAAGCATGAAAGTATCAGTAAAGAAAGATCATACTTATAATGAATATTTAATATTTCCTGAAATTCTAAACTCTTCTTGCAATATTTTCATCACGCTGACTGCTCAAAAGAGCTTCTTGTAACAAAAATTTATTGCCTATGTCTGTGACAAACGAATTGCAACTTGGAGAAATAAATGTCCTCGCTTGCCTATGTCAAGCGAGTTAACTTATACCAGTGCTGCAGCTCTTGCATCTCTCTCTCGTACCGTTAATATCTCTAGGATTATCATTTCCTTGCGGTGCAATGTAAAATCTATTACGCGACATTCAACGAGGCGGTCAAGGCTACGTTCGCTATTTCCATAGTACACCGACCTTCGTCGTCATCACGAAAACATTAGAATTAAATCATCGTGATAATAAGTCGAAGAACGATTAATGTAAATCGCGCGCTTACGTAATACTTTTTTTTTTCTCGCGTCGAAGAGGATCGTCCTGAATTCTTAACTTTGAATTTGCACTGGCATCACTTACGACGGTCAATTCACTTCACGAATATCACGAGTAACGTATCGTGACCTTTTGCCATTCAGTCCTCCCCCCCCCCCCCCCCCCCCCC